AAAATGGATGTGCACAAGAAACTTAAATTCTGGAACAAGTCATATCTGGAAGTGGATGAAAAACAAGGATTTTCTACCAGAGTTTACTTGTTCAAGAAAGTGAAGTAGAGGTATACAAATATAATAGAACTATATATATATCACCTAAGAAAATATAAATATATGAAATTCACATAACAAATGAAGGAATAAACTTTATCTTCAAAGGGTTACAAATTAAGCACTGAGGTCCATCTTACATTTGGCCCTTCCAAAATCATCTTTCACACAGCAACAACTGAGATTCAAGTAGATTTTTATGGATCGCATCTGATAAGCTGATTGGCCGATGGTAAATTATGCAAGGTGTACTATTTTATGCTAGGTAACAGTGGCAAAATGTACAAACTTGAACTGATCAACAAATCAATCACAAAAATTGTACCCGACAAACAAGCAAAACCAAACTTAATAAAAGCTTTTAAAACCAATAACAGGTCATGGAATATGCTAAAACTGCAAGTAGAGGTAATAGCAACTGACTAAGGCAAAACTTTTCTAATGTTCCATGTTAGTCACACACTTTCTGTAGGAATAGCCCTATATGCCCAATATTTCGTAAGGTGCGGAAATAGCTCCTTTACTTTTACTGACACACTTTTGAGACAAATGCTCCCCATGTGGATCTGAGAGCCCCATGTTGGGAAAACAAGAACAGACCCACTGTCTCCCCAACAAGCATGATGACGGAGCAGACTAACTGGAAGCTTCCTTTAAAGTTGGAGAACATCTGCTTCAGCGGCAATCACGTGAGGACCCAACAAGCATGATGACGGAGCAGACTAACTGGGAGCTTCCTTTAAAGTTGGAGAACATCTGCTTCAGCGGCAATCACGTGAGGACCCAACAAGCTTGATGACGGAACAGACTAACTGGAAGCTTCCTTTAAAGTTGGAGAACATCTGCTTCAGCAGCAATCACGTGAGGACCCAACAAGCATGATGTCAGAGCAGACTAACTGGAAGCTTCCTTTAAAGTTGGAGAGCATCTGCTTCAGCAGCAATCACGTGAGGACCCAACAAGCATGATGACGGAGCAGACTAACTGGGAGCTTCCTTTAAAGTTGGAGAGCATCTGCTTCAGCAGCAATCACGTGAGGACCCAACAAGCATGATGACGGAACAGACTAACTGGGAGCTTCCTTTAAAGTTGGAGAGCATCTGCTTCAGCAGCAATCACGTGAGGACCCAACAAGCATGATGACGGAACAGACTAACTGGGAGCTTCCTTTAAAGTTGGAGAACATCTGCTTCAGCGGCAATCACGTGAGGACCCAACAAGCATGATGACGGAGCAGACTAACTGGAAGCTTCCTTTAAAGTTGGAGAACATCTGCTTCAGCGGCAATCACGTGAGGAACCAGCAAGCATGATGTCGGAGCAGACTAACTGGAAGCTTCCTTTAAAGTTGGAGAACATCTGCTTCAGCGGCAATCACGTGAAGAACCAGCAGTTTGTGTTTAAATAAGCCAGATTTGTAAAACGGATATGCATGTAAAACTCAAGTTCTGGAGCAAGACTAAAGTTCAGAAATGGACAAACAACCAGGATCTTTTGCCAAAGTTACACAACCAGTAAAGGCCCCCCCAAAAAACTAATCTCCTGTAAGAGATATGGACACATACATACACTTTAATAACAGAATGTTTCACGACACAACCTGCCTCATGAAAACCTTCCATTTATATACAGAAATATACAATATTTCCAAGATAGGGGTATATGTCTCCTTCTTCTTCTTCTTCTTCTTCTTCTTCTTCTTCTTCTTCTTCAGGTTCACTGGCTGCAAACTCCGACGGAAAGTTCTGATTGTATATTCACTTCTGGACTCCAGTCCTGTTCCAGAACCTGAGTGTTGCGTGTACATCCGTTTCACAGGTCTGACTCATTTGCATGCAGACTGTTGGTTCCATGCCTCTCAGGCAGATGTATTTCGACTTTGAAAGAAGCTCCCAATTAGCTGACTCTTACCACATACTTATGGACAGGAAGTGGGTCTATTCTTGTTCTCCCCCCCCCCCCCTCCATCACAATGGGGCCCCGGAACCCACACGGGATGGGTACATGTTATAATTTATAAGTAAAAATATTAACTGTGACACTGACCAACACAAAGATGGGTGCAGGATATAAGTGACTCCTTGAGTATGAAAGTGCATGAGGCAGGAGAGCTGGTGGCAGATTGAGGTTTATAAAGTGGCCAGTGGACCACTGCCAGTTGTACTGTATTAATGATCTTTCACAGCTGGGGCCAGTGACTATCCCCATTTTCACAATTGTGGCCCCTGAGTAAACTTAGTTGATTAGCACTGGTATAAACACGTATAAATAACATATGTGGTTTATAAAGAGAAGTATAAATAACAGCACCTGTAGTTCAAATGGGGAAAAATACATGATATTTTTAATTCACATGGAAAGAATACGCAATTATATAAGCATTTCACATTTAAAAACAAAATAAAGGACCCTTTCCACAACTTTAGGCGTATAGGGCATATAGGGCTAGACCTATATTTTTAAAGACCAATTGGCACAAGATGGATGATGTGGTCAGCGTCACGCCGGTATTTCACATAGGTAAATATAAATAACATTTGGTTTATAACAGTAATTTAAATGGTAACAAGTTTTTGCGGAGAAATATAAATGGCATTTAGGGGTAACATGAAGAAGGTATAATTTATACTCTGTACGGCCCATGTGGATAAGTATAAATGGCGTTCCAAATTGACAAATATCAATGGTGCACCTTGTTAATATGTATAAAAAGTGGTCCCTATGGACAGATAAACAACGGTACCTATGGATAGATAAACAACGGTACCTATGGACAGATAAACAACGGTACCTATGGATAGATAAACAACGGTACCTATGGATAGATAAACAATGGTACCTATGGATAGATAAACAACGGTACCTATGGATAGATAAACAATGGTACCTATGGATAGATAAACAACGGTACCTATGGACAGATAAACAACGGTACCTATGGATAGATAAACAATGGTACCTATGGATAGATAAACAACGGTACCTATGGACAGATAAACAACGGTACCTATGGACAGATAAACAACGGTACCTATGGATAGATAAACAACGGTACCTATGGACAGATAAACAACGGTACCTATGGATAGATAAACAACGGTACCTATGGATAGATAAACAACGGTACCTATGGACAGATAAACAACGGTACCTATGGACAGATAAACAACGGTACCTATGGATAGATAAACAACGGTACCCATGGACAGATAAACAACGGTACCTATGGACAGATAAACAACGGTACCTATGGATAGATAAACAACGGTACCTATGGACAGATAAACAACGGTACCTATGGACAGATAAACAACGGTACCTATGGATAGATAAACAATGGTACCTATGGACAGATAAACAACGGTCCCTATGGACAGATAAACAACGGTAATTATGGACAGATATAAAAGGTGCCCCATGAGGATAAATATACAAGGTGGACGTTATGGAAAAGTATAAATTGTGGCCCTCGTGGATAAAAATAAATGGTGGTCCTGTGGGAAAAGTATAAATTGTGATCCCTTCATGGACAATAATTAATAGTCAGTATCTTCTTCTTCTTCAGCGATCTCTGGTCATGCGCATAATCCACTGTGGGTCATAAACTGGGATGTCTTTTCAAGGTCTCTTAGGTTTCCCCAAAGCTTAGTTGTCAATAGTCAATACTTTCCTCCTTCCTCCTCACAATAGTCAGTATGAGGAAAGTATACATCAGATTAAAAAAAAATTTTTTTCAGAAAAAGTTAGCAATACTCGCTCCAGTATGTACTCAAAATACGGCGTCTATTACGATAGCTTGAAAAACAAACAAAAACTGTCAGAAAGAGAGAAGAACAAGAACGCCACCACGGCCATTAGTTATGTACTGTTAAAAAGACCAAGATGCATACACATGTCGTAATTGTAACAGACTGAAAGCATGCTGAGAAAGGTGAAGACATTGATGCTTCGAGCAGAGTGGCAAGCTTCACTGGAAAGTTTATGGGTAGTGAGCATACTTTTTATTTTTTTTCCAGGCTATGCCAGCGTGGTGGGTAATGAACAGGCAGACAGATTGGCTGGATCTGCACCACTGGGTGGTGAATTGATGCATGACAAGGCAGATGTGGTCAAGACCCTTTGGGAACAAGCAACCGAATCAGTATTGGAACTCTGCACTGGCTGCTGAAGATGAGGACGGAGCACACCACACATCATTCCTCCTAAACAGCAGATTCTTTACAAAATGTAGCTCTGGTCACAGCATGCCTCAAATTTCTCCTTTTCTCTCGCCAATTCTCCAGCCCGATGTGCTTTCAGAGACAATGCATCTTCCTTTACAGAACAAAGCTCTTGTCAGGGCACACAGGAAAGTCTCTATGGCCAATTCTCCAGCCCGATGTGCTTTCAGAGACAATGCATCTTCCTTTACAGAACACTGCTCTTGTCAGGGCACACAGGAAAGTCTCTATGGCCAATTCTCCAGCCCGATGTGCTTTCAGAGACAATGCATCTTCCCTTACAGAAAGTTGCTCTCATCACGGCACAAATGAAAATCTCTTTCTCTAGCCAATTTTCCAGCCCTATGTGCTTTCAGAGACAATGAATCTTCAATATCTTGTATCCAACTTTAGAGAGGTCTGCCTCTGCCTCATTTTCTGCACACTGTACTCTCCATCACCGTTCTCTCCAGACCACAGGCATAACACGGCCAAAATTCCTCAACTTTCAGGGCAGGATGCTGTTTATCAGCCAATTCTCCTCAATGCCCAGATTATACAGGATGTAACAAGCATGTCATAAAAGATAACTAATTAGCTGAAATTATACGTGTTAGGCTGAAAGGTGCATATATCACAGTCTAGCTGTAAACCACAACATAATGTGCCAATCTTCATTTTAAGGGCGGACAAAGAGGAAGAATTAACAATTCGTCATCTGTTCTCCATGCAAATATCTTTCACAACAACAATACTTCATTATATTGGGGTTACTTTTACAGATGCAAGCAGATTGAGACCCGTATGTATCTATACGACTGATGGAATGTTCAAAGGCACTGTACGTTAATCCGGCATGACCCTGGTTCTCCCCACCGCTCTCGCTACCGTCCTGGTGAAACAGTACTTGCACGGTTGCTTCGAATACTCCTCTGCATTTATCTGTTTCAAGAGTGATCTGAAACTCTGCCATGTCGACTGTTGCATTGCCGAACAGCGCGGAGAAATTCCCGCCTTCGGTTTTGTGAAATGTCAGTACCTGCAAAGAAAAAGGTGGAGACGAAATGAAAAAAGAAAAAAGAATCAAGTAAAGATGTTCATAAATCTGCATAATCATTCTTTTGTTTTTCTGCCAGCCTGGATTGAAGCAGATTTCAGCAATCATGACACCAATCATGATGTTTCAATCATGCTGCTTCACTGACAGCTATAATCCTCTTTTTTTTCTTCTTTGATCCTTTTGTCAGAAAAAAAAATTGATTCCATAACTTGGTAATTTAAGCGATGGTTGATAAATGGTCACCCCAGTACTGACTTGTGCCGGGGAGGGGCCCAGGGACATTACAACCATCAGCCAAGCGTTCCAGCTACAACAACCTGACTGCCTTTGTTAACGACTGTTCACCCAACAGCCATGCAGTTCTTTGGCCCGAAGGATGCACCTTGAACTTGGGAAGTCATATGTGTGCGGACGGACGTAAGGAGAGACAAATGAGAGGAAGAGTACGACGTGTGTATAATCAGTTCCCTACAGGAACAGTCAGCACCTACATCTTAGGACATTTGCTCTGGGAGATGGAGCAACTATGGGTACGCCCCGTGTGCTATGATGTTGATTCTTTAATGAGTAATCAGTAGTTCTGTCAGAAAAGGAACCTCAGGAGGCCAGGAGCCTTTATGAAAGCTATCTTGCAGTCCTAATCTTCTTTTGATCATGAATCTTGAGGTGTAGTAGAAAGAATCCACGCTAAGCATGCTGGTGGAAAGCAAGCTGAATGGATCAGTCAACTTCCCCTGGGGGTTTTGGGGGTTCCAATTATGGGGAGAGAGGGAACCAATATTAGGATCAGACCCACTGTTCCCCTGGTAAGCATATTCTGAAAAGCAACTAAATAAGGGATTTTCCTTCGAAGTCAGCGTGAATCTACCTGAAATGCCAGGAACCAATAAAGCCAGAGCTGTAACATGGCCCTGAATACAAAACTCAAGTTCCCAACACTGAGACTAGGGACAAAAAAAAAAAAAAGGATATAAAAACCAGAAGTGGATGAACAACCAGACTTTCCACCGAAGTGCACAGCCCATGAATGTGAAGAACAGAAAAAGAAGAGTGCAGGATATGTGGTGCCACACAGCCTTTATAAAGTCCTTTTCTCCTGAAAATTCCCATGCAGAGAGGGGGAAAAAAGGAAGATAAAGTAGTTTGAAATCTTCAGTCCTCCTAGTGATCTAACCTTCAGATGTTTAACCCACAGTGCTAAAGAGCATACAGGAAGTATTCACTAATCTGACCAACTTTAGACAGCACCTACTCAGGAAACATTCACTCATTTAACCCACATACCTTCAGGGCCCCCACTCGGGAAACAGATATTAGCTTGACCCATCTGCCTACAGGACCTCCACCCAGCAAAAATATATTAGCTTGACCCATCTCCCAACAGGTCCTCCACCCAGGAAACAAATATAAGCTTGACCCATCTCCCTACAGGACCTCTACCCAGGAAACAGATATTAGCTTGACCCATCTCCCTACAGGACCTCTACCCAGGAAACAGATATTAGCTTGACCCATCTCCCTACAGGACCTCTACCCAGGAAACAGATATTAGCTTGACCCATCTCCCTACAGGACCTCCACCCAGGAAACAGATATAAGCTTGACCCATCTCCCTACAGGACCTCCACCCAGGAAACAGATATTAGCTTGACCCATCTGCCTACAGGACCTCCACCCAGGAAACAGATATAAGCTTGACCCATCTCCCTACAGGACCTCTACCCAGGAAACAGATATTAGCTTGACCCATCTCCCTACAGGACCTCTACCCAGGAAACAGATATTAGCTTGACCCATCTGCCTACAGGACCTCCACCCAGGAAACAGATATAAGCTTGACCCATCTCCCTACAGGACCTCCACCCAGGAAACAGATATAAGCTTGACCCATCTCCCTACAGGTCTTCCACCCAGGAAACAGATATTAGCTTGACCCATCTGCCTACAGGACCTCCACCCAGGAAACAGATGTATATATATTATGCAGACAAATGGACATGCTCTTCACCTTGCCCCTTTGCCTCTTTGTCCTCTAATCTACAGGTGTTACAGCCGGGAAAGCAGCCCAGGGCAACTACTGGTCGACCTCTCAAGGGATGGCAGGTGCCAATCATGACTGCCTACAGGACCTCCATGACTGCATAACCTCACATCCGTATGTTGAGTTCTCCATTATTCATGGGCTGCAACTCCAGAGATCAGCAGGGAGCAGTATGTTGAGTTTTCCATTATTCATGGGCTGCAACTCCAGAGATCAGCAGGAAGCAGTATGTTGAGTTTTCCATTATTCATGGGCTGTAACTCCAGAGATCAGCAGGGAGCAGTATATTGAGTTTTCCATTATTCATGGGCTGCAACTCCAGAGATCAGCAGGGAGCAGTATGTTGAGTTTTCCATTATACATGGGCTGCAACTCCAGAGATCAGCAGGGAGCAGTATGTTGAGTTTTCCATTATTCATGGGCTGCAACTCCAGAGATCAGCAGGGAGCAGTATGTTGAGTTTTCCATTATTCATGGGCTGCAACTCCAGAGATCAGCAGGGAGCAGTATGTTGAGTTTTCCATTATTCATGGGCTGCAACTCCAGAGATCAGCAGGGAGCAGTATGTTGAGTTCTCCATTATTCATGGGCTGCAACTCCAGAGATCAGCAGGGAGCAGTATGTTGAGTTTTCCATTATTCATGGGCTGCAACTCCAGAGATCAGCAGGGAGCAGTATGTTGAGTTTTCCATTATTCATGGGCTGCAACTCCAGAGATCAGCAGGGAGCAGTACGTTGAGTTCTCCGTTATTCATGGGCTGCAACTCCAGAAATCAGCAGGGAGCAGTATGTTGAGTTTTCCATTATTCATGGGCTGCAACTCCAGAGATCAGCAGGGAGCAGTATGTTGAGTTTTCCATTTTTCATGGGCTGCAACTCCAGAGATCAGCAGGGAGCAGTATGTTGAGTTTTCCATTTTTCATGGGCTGCAACTCCAGAGATCAGCAGGGAGCAGTATGTTGAGTTTTCCATTATGCATGGGCTGCAACTCCAGAGATCAGCAGGGAGCAGTATGTTGAGTTTTTCATTATTCATGGGCTGCAACTCCAGAGATCAGCAGGGAGCAGTATGTTGAGTTTTCCATTATGCATGGGCTGCAACTCCAGAGATCAGCAGGGAGCAGTATGTTGAGTTCTCCATTATTCATGGGCTGCAACTCCAGAGATCAGCAGGGAGCAGTATGTTGAGTTTTCCATTATTCATGGGCTGTAACTCCAGAGATCAGCAGGGAGCAGTATGTTGAGTTTTCCATTATTCATGGGCTGCAACTCCAGAGATCAGCAGGGAGCAGTATGTTGAGTTTTCCATTATTCATGGGCTGCAACTCCAGAGATCAGCAGGGAGCAGTATGTTGAGTTTTCCATTATGCATGGGCTGCAACTCCAGAGATCAGCAGGGAGCAGTATGTTGAGTTCTCCATTATTCATGGGCTGCAGCTCCAGAGATCAGCAGGGAGCAGTATGTTGAGTTTTCCATTATTCATGGGCTGCAACTCCAGAGATCAGCAGGGAGCAGTATGTTGAGTTTTCCATTATTCATGGGCTGCAACTACAGAGATCAGCAGGGAGCAGTATGTTGAGTTCTCCATTATTCATGGGCTGCAACTCCAGAGATCAGCAGGGAGCAGTATGTTGAGTTTTCCATCATTCATGGGCTGCAACTCCAGAGATCAATAGGGAGCAGTATGTTGAGTTTTCCATTATTCATGGGCTGCAACTCCAGAGATCAGCAGGGAGCAGTATGTTGAGTTTTCCATTATTCATGGGCTGCAACTCCAGAGATCAGCAGGGAGCAGTATGTTGAGTTTTCCATTATTCATGGGCTGCATCTCCAGAGATCAGCAGGGAGCAGCACAAAGGTTCAGGACTTTGATGACCTCACAAATATGTACATTCTTCTGAATGTTATACACCTTTAGGTTGGACTGTCTGGCCATTTGCTTCAAACCAGTCCTTACTTCTATGTTCTCTAATCCCATAGACTGATACAGCTGTTTTGTAAACAGTCTCCTTAACTGCATCCCATTTTAGGCTTGCTGTAGAGTTATCCTGGTATCTTCAAGCTGTTGTTGAAACTCAAAACACTTTTCAGGGTCTTTAGTTTTAGAAATATTTAACCTAGGGATATATTTTTTTTTAAAAGTGAAAATTCTCTTTGGTTTCATCCGAACTCTTGCAGCAACTAAGGAATGGTCAGTATCACCTATTCGAGGTCAAGATAGGCGGTGACTGCGTCATTGCCCATGGCAATGCTCACCATGCAGTGACATCGACTGCCCTAACATAACATAATGAGGAGCTCTTCTAGTCAACACACACAGGGGATCGAGTGCCCATAGCAATGCTCACCATGCAACGACATCGACTGCGCTAACATAACATAATGAGGAGCTCTTCTAGTCAACAAACACAGGGGATCGAGTGCCCATAGCAATGCTCACCATGCAACGACATTGACTGGGCTAACATAACATAATGAGGAGCTCTTCTAGTCAATACACACAGGGGAACGAGTGCCCATAGCAATGCTCACCATGCCACGACATTAACTGCGCTAACATAACATAATGAGGAGTTCTTCTAGTCAACACACACAGGAGATTACCTGCAGATTCGGCAAGACAAGGCTGGCTGAATGGATGGAAGCCAGCTGGAGCAGGACACACTGCTGTCTGTTTGCCTGAGTTAGGTTGTTGATGGTGTCAACCACCGCTTGTGCTGCTGCAGTGGCTACTGGATCAGATGTGGGAATGGGAACCTCCTGAACACAAGTACACCTGAAGAGACATCAAGAGTGCAGAGGGGACTGTTAGCAACAATAACTGAAAATTAAAGAAAAGACAAATGAGAAAGGGGTGAAATTAAAACATCAGTTAAAATTCACTTCCCGTCCATGCTCTGACTATATAGAGGTCAGTATCTGTCTATTTAATCATCAGTGACCTATATAAGCAAAACCTACTTTATATAAGCCTGTAGTTTATTAGCATTTTGTCATAGTCGTGTATATAATAATCTAATGTTGTCATTTTATAGTTAGCGTATATTTTTCTGTGTTGTCCTTGTTTGCTGATGAAGGCCAATCACCGCAACAACCTTTGTTTGTTCACTGAAATTGAGTTTGTAAAGCTATTTGTTTTTCTAACCCCTTTTCTCTTCTGCATAATTTCCTACCTTTTTTTT